TTTTATGACTTTACTATGAATTGTTTGTTATGCTTTCTTTCTACTTGAGTCAGCGTGTTGAAAACCCTAATTTCTTTTGGATCTCATTCGAATCCTAAAGCTGTTTGTTTAAATGTATACTTGTTTAACTAAGTTCCTCGTTCTTGTTTGACTTATTTGTGTTACCATTCTCTAAAAAAAACTCGAGTGTTGTTGAAAAGCGCTAGGTCCTTGGGTCTTAAATCGTTTGTTCGAGTACTTGACTCGACTGAAAGCTTTTGTTTTAGACTTTGTTTTCTTTATGTGACTTATTTGATTTTACTATCTTTCAACTCGACTATGGCTGAAATCCTAACTTTTCAAAAGGTTTCCTCACCTGCTACTGTGAGACCTTTGCATGTTTCTGATACTCTGTTTTCTACACTATTGATTCAATGTGACTTGACCTACTTGATTACTATGCTTCGAATGTTTGCTTTACTACTGAACCCTGGCTTATTTCTGCCACTACTGCATGCTTGTGATTATCTCTTATTGCCAATGTGTTTGGCCTCGCATGTCTGATGTCGTCTGTTCACTCTGTTTATATACTAAAGTGCAGAAGCATGTTTTTCTTTGACTGAACCTAATCGTCTGGCTGATTTCAAAGCTTTTCCTTTATGAACCCTAATTTCACTCGCCTGTTTGGAATTGATTGATTCTTTTCCCTTTACTGTGATATTTTGCCTTACTGAATCTTTTCCAAAATAAGCATATTTCTGTACTTAAACTTGATTACTTACTTAATGCTTGTACTACTCCTTTTATGGCAATAATTAGTCTGTCTCTAAACTGATCTCTTTCCTTATTTGAATCTGTTACTACCCGTTAAACAGTGATTCCTTAATTAAAGGGAATCACTTGTATAATTGATTCTGACTGTTGATTGTTTCCATATTTTTATTAAAACTTTACTTATTACCTCTCCTTCACTCGTTTTCAAAAAGCTATAAATACCTTGCACTCCTCTTCTTTCAAACACGAACGAACGAACCACTTGAGCTCTGAACTCACACTTCACTCAAAACTCTCTCTCTTTTCTCTGTTACTGCTTGTGTTGCTGCCTTGTCTAGCCGGCTGAAAGCCAAGGCTAGGATGTGGAAATTTGCTTACTCTTCTTTCTACATTTGCTTCTTTACTGGTATGTTCTAATTAATCTTCAAGCATCAAAAACAACATGTTTTCTTTACTATTGACTTCACTCTTGCCTGTTTCCTGCTTGTGTTTAATCAAGTTTTATTCCTAAAGCACGTTGTAAATCAATGTGTTCCTTTATGTATAAATACTCTGTCAGTCATTTGATTATGTGATTATGCCTTATGAATCCCAAACCCCCATATCCCATATGTGTTTGTATTCTCTGGTTGGTTTGAAGGCATGTCAACATTAGACATTGTTGTGCATGACCCAAACCTGACCCTCCCTGGGGTCATATGCTTCATATCCCCTCTATGTGTTGTGTTCTATGGCTAGTTTATGGGCATACCAGCACCATCTATTGCTGTGCATGCCCAAACCTGACCCCTTCCTAAGGTCATATGCTCCATTCAATGAATTCCCAAACCCCTGACCCCTTTGTATAAAAATGTTGATTCTGTGTAGTGTTAGCTTTACTACTACTATTTTCCCATCACCCTTACCCCTCTCTAATTCCACTCAGTTATAAATCTCTGTTTCTGCACTTCAATTATACTCTTAGACTTAGGTTCTTCCCCTCTTGTGTGAGTCTTGCCTTGGGACCCATGAGCTCCCTCTGAACTTGGACACATAAGGGTTGGCCCTTCCAAACTGCAGTCATCTCTATCTGGTTATGCAAACATGGGTGTAAGCACTGCCCGGGGTCCCTTGAGACCCTTAGGGAACTTTGACACACTCAAGTCTAAGAAAGGCTTTGAAACAAATGGTATTTGAGGTGGTTTATTCCATAACTCAGAGAGGAAGTCAAGAATCAGGCCTCCTTTTGTTGTAACCCCTTCTTTTACACTTTTCTGATGTAATTCATTATTTGGTCTGTAATAAGCTGTAATAAGCATTGGGGTTGGTTAGTGGAAAGGGCTGGGTAATTATGCATCCTTAACTATTAGAAGGGTAGAGAACATGCCTATAGGACCTGTTTTCTGTATGATTAATTCAGCATTTAGATAATATGCCTATAGGACCTTTTTTAGTCTGCATGTTTAACTCTGCATTTAGAGTACCTGTCTATTGGACCTGTTTTAAATTCTGCATTTAAATAACATGCCTATAGGATTTGTCTTAAATTGTGCATGTTTATTACCACACTTAGACACCATGTTCTTAGGATCCAATTGGTTATAATCCGGCATCATGTCCAATAGATTATAATCAATACCTTTTCATAGAAATCATTCCTATAGGAATTTCAAGCAAATCCCGCCTACTTCGTTTCACGTTCAACTAGATATCATATCTATAGGAATTAAAATTAGCAATAATAGATATCAACGTCTATAGAATCTGAAACCAGTCTAGTCTAAAATCAGTTCAGCTCATACTGTTCTGAACTAATTTTTAAAACAACTCTCTCTCTTCTTATTAATACGGTTTAGAAAGCATGTCTATAGGATCTCAAATCGTTTCTTTTAGAATTGTTACTGCTTTGCCACATTCTGAATCAGTAATAGATATCATGTTTATAGGATCTCACCCAAACACTTAGGCAAGCCTTAGGTGACAACAAATAAAACTGAACCCGCCTTTGTTAATTAGTAACTGCTGCAAGTTTGGACTTCTTATCTGATTTATGTAATAAATTGGTGTGCACGGTGAAATCGGAGGACCAACTTCTGATTAGCAAAATGCTTAGACAGAGAGGTCCGGGATCTCAAGCCGGCCATTTTTCTCAAGATATGTCAACATCCAGTCGAAGGTAACATCGAACGAAACCCCGACGAACGAAGAAAGTTCCCAAAGAACGTATCCGGGGTCGACTAAGTCTGTTCGAACAGCTCAACGTCGGCCCATGCACACGGCATAAAGCTAGTTGGCTGTCCCATCTCCTTTTCTTTATCACGCAACGTCTCTTGTACTAAGTTTTGGCTCCCCCTTCTTATAAAAGGAGAGTCATTAATACCCTGTAAAGCAGAGCTCCAACAATTCTCCATAAGTGCAATAATATCACTCTCTCTCTCTTTTTTCTAAAAGCTTATTGGCTCCCACTATTCCGAGGATACCTCGATATCCTTCGCCTTGATATGTGTTCTTCATCGTATAATTTAGTTTCGGCTATCAAGAGCTTTATTTGATCATATCTCTAACTGTTATACTACCCTTGATTGTCCCCGATAGCCCGAGCTCGACCTCGAGGTCGACCCCGAAGTCCCCATCAACCAAACCTACATCCGGGTAGTAGGCCCTTCGGTTCGATCATTATCTCGTTTTGACTCACGCTCCATCATTAAATTTCGTATTATTAGCATTGTCTGCTCTAACAACTAGCTCGGGAATAGATCACGTATTTTTAGAGTCCCATTTTACAAATTTAATTGTCGTTACCATTTTCACGGTAAACAGTTTGGCGCCCACCATGGGGCTAAAAATAATAGTGATTACTTTCTTGCTAGTTTCATTACACAAATGTATATCGTCTTTCACACTTTTTCTTGGCCAAGATCCTTTGATTTCAGGAAAAATCGTTCTCAAAGATCACGGGGAAAATGGTGTAGCTATCCCGGCCACCGGAGCACCACTAGAGGATCCCGATAACGCACCCGAACCAGTACTAGCGGACGCGGACTCAGAGGATGCACAGCAAGTCAACGAAACTTCTCACACCGACAGAAGCGTGCGACACAGCGACCGACAGGAAGTTCAAAAAACCCCAGCCCGGGAAGAACACGAAGTTAGTCTTCACGTTATTTTTGAAACGTTGCAGGCACAACAACTGTCCATTGCTCAGTTGCAAAGCCATCCGAGAACTTCCAGCACACCAGCACCGGAGATAGCTCCCCCCGCCGAGCAAATACCCAAAAGATCAATTGATATTGGGTCAGTAGCTGACCCCACCATAGTGAAGATGCTGGAGGATCTTACCAAAAGGATCGAATCAGGTAAAAAAATGATTGCAGCCAACGATAAAAAAGTCGAGACCTACAACTCTCGAGTGGATCATATCCCAGGAGCACCCCCGATCCTAAAAGGTCTGGATTCGGAGAAATTGTACAGAGGTCGTTCCCCGAGGAAGCGGCCCCGAAGCCTATTCCTAAAAAATTTAGGATGCCGGAACTCCCCAAATACAATGGTACCACCGATCCCAACGATCACGTCGCCGCCTATACCTGCGTTGTAAAAGGCAACAATATAAAAAATGACAAAATCGAGTCCGTGTTATTGAAAAAATTCGGAGAAACATTTTCGAAGGGGGCCATGATGTGGTATCACAACTTGGCTCCTGACTCCATAGATTCATTCGCCATGCTAGCAGACTCCTTCGTAAAAGCACATGCGGGAGCCATCAAGGTAGCAACGAGGAAGTCCGACGTTTTCAAAATCAAGCAAAGAGAGAATGAGATGCTGCGAGAATTCGTGTCCCGCTTCCAAATGGAACGAATGGAGCTGCCACCCGTCTCCGACGACTGGGCAGTACAGGCCTTCACCTAAGGCCTGAAAGAATGAAGCTCGATGGCCTCGAAACAGCTGAAGCAGAACTCTGATCGAATACCTGGCCGTGACTTGGTCGGACGTCCACAACCGGTACCAGTCAAAGATCAGGGCCGAGGAAGACCAACTCGGAGCCCCTTAGGGCTCGGTATACCCAAGCAGACTCCTGGTAAGAGAAGCGAGACCAAACAAAGAAAGGTACCAGCCGTACCTCGAAGACAGGAGGAACTCCAACCTATCTCGCAAAAATCGAAGGATAGATCGAGGACAGGACCCTTGAGGACTCATCAACAGAACCAGGTTCGATCGAAACATAGCACCAACTAACGCGCCCCACTTATCGAAGTACAACTTCTGCGTCGATGTTTCAGAAAACGTGTTCGCTATCGGCAAAGATCAAGGATGCCAAGTGGCCCAAAACGATACAATCAGACCCTTCGCAGAGAAACTACAACCTAGTATCCGAGTTTCACAACACGCACGGTCACAGGACCGAGGACTGCCATCAGGTACGAGAGGAAGTGGCTCGACTACTCAACGAAGGGCATCTCCGAGAATTCCTCAGCGATCGGGCCAAAAATCAATTCCGAGAGAGGGAGACGACCAAGAAAAACGAGGCAAAAGAACCGCAACATGTCATCCACATGATCATGGGAGGCGCCGATGCCCCACAGGAACCAGTAGTGAGAAGAACAAAGATATCCATCATCAGGGAAAAACGGACTCGAGGATATTTCCCAGAAGACGCCCTCACGTTCAGCGAAGAAGACACCGAGGCCCTGTCTCAACCCCATAACGATGCCCTGGTAATATCCTTTCTTATAAATTCATTTCAGATAAAATGTGTACTCGTGGATCTAGGAAGCTCAGCCAATATCATCAGGGCGAAGATAATAGAACGACTCAGGCTGCTCGAACAAATCGTGCCCGCCACTCGGGTCCTCAACGGTTTCAACATGGCTAGAAAAACAAAGAAGGGAGAAATCATCCTCCCGGTTACCGTGGCCGGCACAACCCTAGACGCCAAGTTCTATGTCATCAAAGGAGATATGAGATATAATGACTTATTCGGACGACCCTGGATACACTGCATGAGAGCAGTACCATCCACCCTCCATCAGGTGATAAAATTTCCGAGAAAGGACGGGATCAAGACCGTCTGCGGGGGACAGCACGCGGCAAGGGAAATATTCCCTATGCACGACGTAGTACCAGCGCTCACATTTCCACCCCCAAATGAAAGCACGATCAGACCAGGTCTCGACCCCGGTCGAACTTGACAAAGCAAAGTGAAAAAATTCGCGCCGCATCTCCGCCCCCGGGAAGTTATAATAGGCTAAGTCCCATGACGTCACCGGCGCATGTAGCTTTAAGGTACAACCATTCCTTTTCCTATGTTATATTTTTTCAAATCCGAGATTAACCCTCACGCAAACAACCAAACCGGAAGCTGCCTAGACGTTAGTACTGCTACGGAACCCCGAAGCCCCAAAGACGCACCCGTTGCACTCTTTTCCTTCGACCGAGTTTTTATCCTAAAAAGAAAGGTTTTTACCGGCAAGGTTTTTAGTGAGGCAACGTCTGCAAGACACCAGGAGGGGAACTCCACAAAATATTCTGAACAAACCCCGCAGCTGTTGAAAAAGCGAGAAGGCATTCCCTCCGAAAAGCGGTCCGCTCGTGGGAATTTTGGAAAACACCAGACAAGGTTTCCTGTAAGAAAATGATGCATCGAAACACCGATTTATTCAGTCCTCGTCGGCAAAAATATGTACTATTGTATCAAACAAATCAAAAGAAATACTTTTTGGATGAGGTAACTCCTTCCTAGAGTAAAATAACGAATCTTTCCCCTGAAACATCCCGAAAAACGCAGGAACAGGTGCCAACAGTTCAAAGCGCCCCAAACGGCCTACGGGTCGAGGCTATGAAACCGCAATATTCTTCAGGCGGGACAAACCCGAAGCAATCAGCCTTGGCCCGATATAGGTCGGTCCAACCCAACAAGGTATATTGCGCCAACGGGTCAAAGGACGCCTTCCAGCACTCCGTTCTCTGAACAGGGAAATCACATTATATTCCCGGCAGGGTTCTCTTCACCAAATGCATTCCTAAATACTCGGAGACTTAATGCCGGTAGTTGGGCACTCGCGCAACTCCAGGACCGGAACTCCGGGTTCGTAAAGCCCTGAAAATGCAGCTCCGAGTTCACAAGAAGCGGTCTTCACGCTTAAACAACTTGATGACTCGGAGACTGACGACAATCGCCATGCTACATCACCGAAAAAAACTGTAAGACCTCAATAGGTATGACAAAACTGTAAGACCTCAACAGGCATGACAAAACTGTAAGACCTTAATAGGCATGACAAACTGTAAGACCTCAACAGGCATAAAAATCCCGAAGTTTAGGCTGTACGTCGCATTTGTAAGAATCCCGAAAGGGCATACCCTCGATGTAGACGCCTAAACTATCACTCGGGATCAAAAATGGCTACAGCCAAACCCACATGACTGCGGTCAAAACGGCTGATACAGCCAAAATAATGTGACTCGGGGATGCCCGACCATCGCTAAGCAAAATCACAGGCCACTACTTCGAATATACTTCGGAAAGAACCGGTTAAAATAGGCTTCCCTCAACAGGCAAAACAACGGGCTATGAACCTTCCGAGGTGCTCGAAATATCACCGATAATGACTTGAAATCGAGGTTCTTCCAGAACCGACGACGGGTCAGGAAAAAATCTTTGAAAAGACCTTAACGAGCGGAAATCTAGCCTACAAAAATCCCACGGGCAAAAACAGCGTGAGAGCCATTGTCGCCAGCTAAGCAAGCCTACGGGCCACATATCAAAAGGTCTCTACGACCAAAAGCGTAAGAGCCATTTTCGCCAGCAAAATTGACAACTTGAGGATTAAAGTGAGCTCGACTCGTAATGCAATTCGTAGACCGGATCCAAAATAGTTAACTAAATAAGCCTACGGGCCACATATCAAAAGGTCTCTATGACCAAAAAGCATAAGAGCTATTGTCTCCAGCAAAATTGACAACTTTATGATTAAAGTCAGCTCGAATCATAACGCGATCCGGAGACCGAATCCAATATAGCTAACTAAACAAGCGTACGGGCCACATATCAGAAGGTCTGTACGACGAAAAAGCGTAAGAGCCCTTGTCGCCAGCCAAAACTGACAGCTTAAGGGCCGATCAAAGCTCGAATCGCAACACGACTCGGAGACTGGACCCAAGATAAGTTGAAACAACCAAAATGCCCAAGGGCGAGAAATGAAAGCCGTCATCGCCAACCCAGACTAGCGCCAAATCTCGAGGGTAAATTAAGCTCGAGTGAGGTGATCGCGGCCTACTTCGCACTACTATTTAAGTAGCGAGAGAGAGTCGGAGCAGCTTTTACCTTATTTAGGGTCGGGATCGAATCCACATAGAGCTAGAATTTGGAATCGAGTATCTATCTAGTGTAAAATTATGTATGTGTTCTTAATTGCACTTCTATTCATTTTTGGGGTTTTTGTTAACTTCTAGTATTATCAATCTAGAAATGGTAATTGCAACTAAATTATGCTAAGTGTTATAATGCTACGAGTTGTTCAAATAGGTTAAAAGGTACTAGGGTAGTGACTACCACCTAGGTGGTCAATTGACGGGTACTTGAATCTAAGACATTCTTGACACGTTTGGGGAGTATGTTATAACCGTTGCACGACTTTACCACTCTACACCTCTCTGTGGTTCGAGTGATTTTGCCCGAATTGGCTTTCTCAAGACCAATTGGGTATGCAAATTTGCACAAGCAACTAGGGTTCAATTCGGGTATTACTCTCTCGAGGTTTAACCCTTTAATTGGGGCTATCAATCTCTTGAGTATGCCCCAATTCATTGTTGGACCAATTTCGGAGACTTAGGCTCTCTTTATCAAGAAGAGCTCAAGTCACCTCAACACAAACTAGTGTTTGCAACCACTAATTCAGAAATTAACCATGAAATTGGCCCAAATAACAAACACCCATAGTCAAATTAGCCCTAAATTACAAGACCCATCAATTCCCACACTAGGGTTGAGCCAAAACCCTAGCTTATGGGTCTAGCTACTCATAATTAAAGGAGAAAAGCAAGAACTAGATGAAGAAAAGCTCATAATAATTAATCACTAAGTTAAATACAAAGATTCAATGATTAAAAGTAGCTAAAATTGCCCAAAATGGCTTAAAAAGTCGAACCCACGAGCGCAGCTGCTTAATTACAATATTTGATACCCTAAAAATGGAAGAAGAAGCTATTTATACTAGGCTGAAAAATCTAGACAAAAATGCCCCTACGGGGTTAGTGCGGACCGCACAAAATGGACTGTGGTCCGCACTGGGTCTTTGGCCTTGAAATATAGCTCTCTAAATATTGGCATCGCGGACCGCAGAAAATGGACTGCGGTCGCGGAGGCTTCTAGTGCGGTCCGCGTAAAATGGACCGCGGACCGCGGAGGCTTGAAACTCTAAAAATGGCAACTCTCTGATTCTCCTCACCGCGGACCGCAGAGAATGAACTGCGACCGCATTGATCTTAGTGCGGACCGCACTAAATGGTAGTGCGGCCGCACTGCCTCTTGGCCTAAAAATCACCTCTCTGAATCTCCTAGTGCGGACCGCACAAAGTGGTGTGCGGCCGCACTAGGCCTGTTTAGCCTGAGCTTGTCTTGTCTTTGGCACTTGTGCAAGTTTTACTCCGTTTGAGCTGATCTTTGACATCTCGTCGCTTTGGTGATCAAACCTGCAATCAAGCACAACTTGTGAACCTTTTGGGACTATTTTGTATGAATTTCTAATCAAAGAATAAGCAAGAAGGAGAATAAAATACGTCAAAATCCCTAGTTATCAACTCCCCCAAACTTAAGTTTTTGCTTGTCCTCAAGCAAATAAAATAAGACCTACCCCTTAAGAGACTGTCCAAGAAAAATTTCAGTTGTCCTAAAGTGACCTCAACTAGCCTCAATTGGGACTAACAATTGCCCTCAATACACATGAATCATTAGCACATTTTTTCTTTTAAAACACCATGGATCAAGTGTGAAACGAGAGCATCAAGAATTGACTCAACACATCTAAGAACTCTTTTCTATTACTTTGGTCATTGTGGAACCCAAACTCACACACCCTCAACTCTCCCTAAGCAATCCTCACCTTTAAGATAATGGCACTCAGAACGAGGATAATGGGAATTCACTCATTTCTCTCAAGAAAAAGAGTCACAAGTCCGGCTTAGGTACCATATGCTTGCCCCTTATGTAAGTATCCACTAATGTAAGCTCCCTTCAACTCAAGATCATATAGGGCTTTTGTGGAGACATTGCGAAGGCTTTTGATTTAGGGTAGGAAATGTTTTGGTCGAAGTAGGTTCCATCTTCCCTTAAGAACTTCTTTTGATTCATTTGGCATCCATTCACTTGACTTTATGAGTCGTTTCACTTCTTTCTAAGGGGTTAGAGAGACACACTGTCACTCTTTCTTATGCATTTCAAACCTTTTTTTCTTTTTCAACTTTCCACACCTTTCATTCTTTGCTTTTCTTTGAATTCCTTTTTATTCTTTTTCACATTGAATTTTCTTTTTGTCTTTTTGCTTTTCTTTCTTTTTCATTGCCTTTCATTTTCTTCATTTTTGTGCCTTTTTACCACTTTGTTGCAATCCTCGTCTCTCCCCCAAACTTATACTTTTGCCATGTGCAAAAGGAAAGATCGGGTGCCAAGAGAGGGTATCTTTTAATACAGGTATAGGCTTGTATCATGGTTATTGAAGGAAAAGGTCTAAGGCTCAAAAGGGTTGACTAGGGATCTTATCATTGGTAGGTTATGGATTTGTTCAAGCTATCATTTGGACCAAGGAGAGTCTATAATCATGTCTCAGGTCAAAATTCACTTAGGATTTCGCCTCAACAAACATTCAGGGCAAGTTCTAGACTAATGGCTCAGGACATGGACTTGCAATACGATTACTCACCACTGGGATTGCTAAAGACACAGAGTCGGGGGCCCACAACGACCTTATATAAGATTTAAGTTCACAATGGTCCCAAAAAACCACATGATGATTATCGGCCAATACAAGAGTCTCAAGGTCACGACTTTCACCATCCTCAACACAACAAATTGTCTATGACCATAAGATCAAAGGCAAATGTGCTAGGCCCAAGTGAAGCTTTGCTCGAGGCACCCTTAACTATTAACTACCAAAAACAAAAAGAAAAATGGACTCAACCCTTAAGAAGGTTG